TTAAGCACAGAATGGGGAACCAAATAGACCCGATGATCGCAGTGCCATATCCCCTAACAACAATAATAAGAAAATGAACTTAATTCGTTAGAATTCTTAACGCAAATATTAAAATGATGAATGAAATTTATGAGGAAGCAATCCAAAAACTGAAATTATGAACCTTACGAAGAATTTGAGATAATAGACTTGGTGTAGTACGCCTAAGTATAGGAAAATATCCCACTCTCATAAAAATCTGAAAAATATAGTATTATCATTATTATTATTGAGAAAAGGTATAGTGCACTGCGACCTAGAAGATCTGTTGTGTGCCCCTTAATCTGATTAGAGTGTTTCTACAAGTCCGATTTCTTTCTACCTTTCTACCTCTAACGCTAAAATATGGATGAAATGTTACCAATCAACATGAAAAGTACAAGAAATTACTATAGTTCTCAGGCTAAGAAAAGATGCTAACGACGTTTCAAAAATATTAGAAACATTTTACTTGAAATAATTCTTGAAATAATTCTAATAAATAAATTACTTTACCATAAATCAAGTACACGGCATCATCGATATAATAAATTCTATTTTTTTTTAAATGTTTTTATTTTATTATTTTTTATATATTTTATTTTTATTTCATTTCATTTATTACTATTTTCAGTTTTATTTCATATTACTATTATTATCTATTTTTATATTTTTTCTTTAGTTTTTTATTTTTAGTTATTTTTATTTATTAATTTTCTTTTCAATTATTTTTTTTTATTTTTAATTATAAATTTTAGTTTTATTTATTTCCTTTATTATTCTTTGGTTTTATTTATTTTATTTTTATTTTTTCTTGGTCTTGGAAATTCATTTTTATTTATTTAGTTTTTTGTTTTTTATTATTATTTCATTTTATTCATTTTTATTTTTATTTATTTTTTTTTATTTTATGTTTTTATTTTATAATTTTTATTTTATGTATATTTTATTTTTGGTTTTGAAATCAAAAAATGTTTGAAGTCTTAATTAAAATAATTCTGCCATTGCTTAAATCTTAAGAAGCAATATCTTCGTATCACACATAATTCGGATGCTATTCATCGATATATTTTATATATGTATTTTATTATTTTATTTACTATATATTTATATATATTTTATTATTTTTATTTTAATTTTCTTTTAATTTTTTTGATTTACTAATTTTTTTTTATTTGTATTTATGTACATTTTTGTTTTTTGTATTTATTATTATTTTTTTCATTTTTCATTATTTTAATTTTTTTTTCTTACTTTGTTTTTTTTTAGTTATTTATTTTTATTTTTATTTGGATTTTTTTAATTGTATTTCTATTTTTTTGTTTTTTTTTATTTTGTTCTTATATTATATATTATGTTCTTATATTATATTATATATTTATATTACATTATTTATATTATTTATATATAATTTTTTGTATATTTCAGTTTTATTTTTTTTCATTTTTAATTATTTTTTTTTATTTATATATACTTTTTTTTTTACTTATAGTTTTTATTTTGAATTAATTTTTTTAATTTTTAGTTACTTGCGTTATTTTTATTTATTTTATTTATTTATTTGTATAAAATTTTATTTTTTTTGGTGTTTATTTTTTTTTTTTTTAATTTGTTAAAATATTTTTTTTTTATTTTAGTTTTTTTTTATTAGAGAGGTTACAAACAGTTGTAAACTACAACAACAAAAATTCTTTTCATATTATTTTAATTAATTGAGTTTTTGGCTGATCATATAGCTGTTTCGAGTATTGTCATCAGTGGTGGGTATTTAAATATTTTATTTATAGATATTTATTTATTTCATTTATTTTTTCTTGTTTTTTGTTTGTATTAATTTTTTTATATTTATATATATATTTTTTATTTATTTTTATTGTGTTGTATTTATTTTTTATTTAATTGCTCAAATCAGGTGTTAACTGTTATGAACTTAACAATTTGTTTTATTTAATCAAACAAAAAAGATCAAATTATATGAATAGAAAAGGTATTGTGTTACCCCAAAGTAATACAAGGTCTCATACAAGTTTGAAAGCCTGCCAAGCATCTTTACAATATAGATCGAATATATTGTAACTTTCACCCAACAAAATTTCTAGATGTGACACAATCGAATTATCGGTTGTATTATCGGAATTATCGGAGGATTTGAGAGTTGATCTACAATCCCTTTTTTTTTGCGTGGAAAGATATATTGCGATCATGGAATCATAATACTGCCAAAAATATAGCAGAAGATATTGAATCAAAATAAAGACTATTCAACATTAAAATAGTTTTAGAGTGTAAGAAGTTGTTTTCGAATAACCCCATATTAAAGTATGCAAAACTAATTCATTTTAATTTATATTTAAATTGTTGTATTCTTGCGCTGTTGAGATATTAAATTTTACAGCTTTATTTGTATGGCTCACAGAACACTCTTATTTTCAACTTTGAAAACCCAGCCTTCACATACGCATATTGTTAGCAAGTTTTAAGTAACGTTCCTTCAATGGCAAAACTATTCCGTAGAAAATATACTTTTACTGAAGAAAGTATTTAACTTAACAGTTTCGCGCACATACACACATAGCTGCACTTTTGAAGATATGGTATCTGCGAGTACATATTACATTACAACTGCACATTTATGTGTTTTATCGTTGTTTTCGTTAAATTGCACCAATGAAATTATCTGTAGTGTACGAGTACAAGTATCTATGAGAGTATATGGGACAGCTGTTGCTATTCTCAGAAAAATTTCTTCTTGTACGCCAGGCCGCACGACCAAGTTCTTTGTCGATTCCAGACGCTGGCAGATTGATGTTGCTTAAAAAAGCACAGAAATTTTTCTAAATTTTCAACAGTTTTATGGAACTATCCACAATTGTATATGTACACAGAAATTCAGTAACTTTTTAATCTCAAAAGATAATTGCGAAAAGTTGTAAATTTTTTGAAAACTTTAGCCGAACTTGTGCCTTGTTGGCTTTTGGTCATCATAATAACATGTGATGTGAACTTCACTCAAATCCAAAGCCAAAGTGCTCGGGGTCAATTTGGATTACTTTGCCTAATTGAGTGTTTTAAAGAGTTTAAAAACTTTTTCTGGAAAAATTTTTATTTAATATTGTGAGAAAATTTTTGCTAAACATATAGAACTATTGTGTAAAAGTATTTTTAATGTAAACAAAGTTAAACAAACTTTACTGAGATAGTAAAGCCATTTGAATAAATATTCATGCAATAGAATTTATTTAATAAAGCGAATAGTTAAGATACCTTATATGTAATATTATAACTATTTTTTTTTTTAAATATATAAAATAAGTTTTTAAGGCTGTAGTTTATGTACTTGGAAACTATTCGACTAATTTTAATGAAATTTTTATGGAAATCTATTACACGATATATGCAATTTGGACGACCCGACCCGACGTTAGTGCGATATGCGGAAATTCATGCATTCTTTTCAAGAAAAATTATATACATAAAATTTTGTTTAATTTGCTTTTTAATTTTTAATAAAGAAGGATATTTTTATTACCACAAAGTAGTAATAGAAAATCAGAGGATATGATTGATCAAAGGAAAAATTAAATTGATGAAAAACATAATTTTTTTTTTGTGTGCGGAGAAGAGGTTCAAAATTGCGTTACGAATCGTCACTATGTCGTCACAATAGTGGTATGTCCGATTTGCACGGACTAAAAATAGTCCCCTCATATGCCTGACTTCTTCGGGAATACTGATATCTGCAACTTTCATTTCACCAACTATTGAAAAACATAATAAATATTTATAAATTTTTGATCATAAATTTTTGATCAATGTATACCTCTCATTGAAGTATAAAATTTTGTATTGAAGAACTTAAAGGGAATGTGTTATGCAAAGTGTTGAGGTAACGGAAGTCAAACGTTAAGATGTACTTGTCAGTGCAAGCTGAAGTTTTTTCTCCTCTCTCTGCAGGCTTTAATAATTCTTCCAAACGAGATTTTAAAGACAGTGTCGTTAAATGATTACTGCTTATTATTTCAAGTTTGGTATTAAGAACTAATATAGTCTATAGTTTCCACAAAATCTTTTTAACAATTTTAGGACCGCACTATGGTAAAGGGAGAAACGCAGAAAAAAAGTGAATAGTTTGTATGTTAGTTAAGAAATGTTTATTTGATTGTGAGCAGGCGACACAATACCGTAGAACAACAGTTTTAAATTGTTTGTTATAAAGCTTTAATATATAATATATGAGTGCTGTAAGTCGCTATTAAAACTTATCGAAACTGAGATATATTTGAAGCAATAATAAAATCTTCAATATTTCATAAGTGTTATGTGACAATTTATTTATGAAAATTCCTTAGCATTTATTTTATAATTCAGGAATATCATTGAAATTTATAAAATATTAATTGTTCAGAAGTTATGTAAATTCTTAAACGATTTTTCTCATTTCAATTTGATTTATTCCAAATGCCAAAGGATTTGTTTATCTGCTTCGTATGAGAAAGACACTCAATCCAACCAAAAAGTGGCAACAAATGTAGTAGGTTTCATGCAAACTGACATTTATCTTTTAAAACTCTTGAGATCAAATTAAGTTGCACTCAAGTATTTCTGTATTTATATATGTCCTGTGCTTATATTTATTTTATTTTAAATGCACAAGAGTGTTAAGTCATTTAGCACAAAATTCTTAGGATTTGGTTTATTTAAAAAGAATAAAACTTACTTCTAATTTATATGTCTTCTGTGGCCAGGAGACCAGGATAGGATATTTTGAAATTCGTAATGCTGCGGGAGGCAACTGAACAAAATTCAACAAAAATGTGCAAATATCTTTGTACTTTATGAAATCGAAAATAATGTTCTTTAATAGTCCAAGAAAAAAAGATTTATTCACCAAGTTTTTTCTTAAGGAATATATGCATAAAATAGTTATTAAAAATATATTTTATTGTGTAAATAATTTTTAAAAAAATATATATTTTTTGCTAATATTTTTCTTTGTTAGTTTCTTTGTTATTCCTTTTCCTCTGGTTTTTAAATTGCTGCAAAAGAAAAAATAAAATTTTTATTAATATAAAATTATTTATAAAAAATTGATCAAATTATAGATTTTATATTATGAGTTTACGGTGGCTCGCAAGTATGACAAAAAACAGCAAGATACTGGCCTATACTGGCCGAAATGTACGCAAAACAACAACACTACTTTCTCTATCTCTGTGGTCAATATAGGTCACACACTTCGGCCAGTAAAGAAAAAAGTGTTACCAACGCAATAACCGAACTATTGTGAGCCTTCACTGGAAACTCCAATGAATTTTGCAATTATATGTCAAAAATCATATGTGAAAAAATATTCAAACAAAATTTAAAAATTACATAAATTTAAAAAGTTGGAAAAAAGAAGAAGTTTCAGTGTTTTATTTTAAAATGTTCAACATTTTTTCATTTTAATTTTCAATTCTATGTTAATTATTTATTTTTGTACAAAATGTAATTTGCTTCCATTAAGCTATTTTTGTTATTTGTCAAAACATAACACCTGACAGATTGAAACAGTGATGCCAATGTCTCGCTTAGCGAATATAGGCTAGCATGCATTTTTTGCTACACTTGCGAGTCACCGAAAGCGCGTATTATTGTTACTATGTTGTTACTACTGTTGTGCCTTAATTTATAAAATAAAATTTTTATGGAGATATTCTCACATAAATATGCACATTTGCTTTCAATAGGTGGAAATGTGCACTTTGGAATTATGTTTTTATTTATAAATTAAGCTTTCGAATTCGATATGCTAAAAAAAAATTCATATTACACTGAAATCACAATTGCTCAAATATAATTTTATATTTATATATTACGTACAAATAAAAAAGGACAAAAAATGCTTGAACACAATAGGGCTGTTCCACGAGGTACTAGTGGTAAAACTCCAGTAAAACACAATTAAAGTGCAAACTGAGAGTGGCACAAAAATAAAGTGCCAGGTTACGCTCTTTACATTGATTTTCATTGACAGCTGATGCACACATTGCGAGTAAAGTCTGTGTAGCATTTTTTAGACAGGTATGTTACGCTCTCTCAGCTGCTCTCATTTACTCGAAAATTTGCTGGTGGAACACACTTGTGTGTACACATTGTTACTCAAAGTTACTACTAGTAGCTAGTGGAACACACCTAATAGAGTTTTAAAATTTTGATGGCCGATCATAACAATAATTGAATCTTATAATAATCGATCATAATCTCATTGATTGATCGAGGCTTCGAATAACTAAATTTATATATATGAAATAAAAGATTCACTTAGTTATAAATATAAAATTTGATTTTAATCTTAATTCATACCTTGTCTGTTAAAAAATGTTCATTTGTTTCTTTTTGCTGTGGTTCGTTTGAAGTATATATGTAGTGTTGTGAATAAGCAATGTAATGGTAAATGTTTTGTTAAGTCCTTCCACCCATAAAATGAAATCGTACAATCCATAATGTTTATAATAGTAATATTATTTGTTGTTCATGTAATCTAAAATCATTTAAGAATTAAAATATGTATATGCAAGTTTAAACAAAAATAATTTTTATAGTACCTTGATTTAATATTGGTAGCCATATGGACCATTGAAGTCTTGATAACCTGGAGCACTACAAAAAAAAATTTCTGTATTTGTATATATATATATATATATATATATTGCATATATAATTACTATGGTGTATAGTATATCATGCCATGGGCATTCATCAAGTTTATCACTGCCAAAGGTGTTATGTGAGCGATGAAGCTGTTAATTTGAATTATTTTCACCCATTTGCTAAGTTCGGTTTTACGAAACAGCTCAATATTATTTGTAGTACAAATAGTAAATCCTAAGGCCTGGGGAAATCCATTAACGACATGATAAAAAAAGGCGTTACTTGTATATACTAACTCCCCATGTGAGACTACTAGCACGATTCTACTGATATCCAAACCCCATGTCAACTTGTAAAAAACATCAGCAAAGAGTGTTCTATTGAATATATCCTCAAGACTGGATCTACCATAACCTGCAACGATATAAATTTTAGATATATATAAACTTAAGAGTTCTTATATCAGTTTTGTACATAAATATCTTACTAAGATTATTATTACTCACAATTTAAGATAATGCATATATATATATATATATATATAATTATAATATATATATTATATATAATATATATATATATGTGTGTGTGTGTGTGTGTGTGTGTGTGTGTGTACTTATAAATATATGTATGTATATATATACTTATTCAGTTTATAGAAATATGTATTTGTATCTTAGTAATAAAAACTGTTTTTCACATTTTTACATGAAATTCAATGACTAGGAAAAGCAAACTTTAAAAAATATTTATGTATGTTTATTACCTGCATCCGTTACCGACATTGTGTAAAAATATATATATTATTGTGGTTTACTGTAGGCAAAATATGAAACTAATGAAACTAAAAAAATTTTCTATTATAAAAGTTCTATAAAGAAACTAATTCAAATGCATACTTAATTACAAAAAATATTCGATTTGTTTGTGAAAATCTAAAAAAAAACAAATAATTTTCAGCTACGCCAACATAGCCATAAAATCTTATGATTAATTATAGTGTTAACTAAAAAAACTGGGTTAATTATCAATTTCCTTCCCGCAAAACATAGCAATTTTTCTAATTTTCTTGCTTGAATAGAATCTTCTGTAAAAATTAAGGTGAATGGTATCAAATCACGGCTTCCAGTTAATTTAACTAGTAAGAGAAGATAACAAGATTAAAAAAACTAACATTAAAGTTCTATTGCGAATGAACAACTCTTTGATGCCCTATATTTTGTTATATAATGAAAATGGACGTCTGTTCCACGAGTTACTTGTAGTAAAACTCAAGTAAAACACAAGTAAAGTACAAGTTAAGAGCGTAATAGTACATTCACACTGTTTCATTTAGGCACTTGCTCATTTTCATTAATTGTGAGACGTTCACATTATAATGAATTCATTTATGCAGCTGAACTTTTATAAACTGTACTTAATAATATATCACATAAAGAATATCAAATATATAATTGAAATATTTAATCATTGATATACATTTTATGTATCAATTACATATGTAATTAATTAAAGAAAAGATTTTATTAAGTACTTACTTTTTCAGCACCTTTTTTACAGCTTTTTTTTCACATTTTACAAATGAAAAATATGACAAATATTTTAACTTTTGATGATTTCCCTTCTGGGATATTTATTTTTAAATGTTGCATTCGACAATTTTCGCCTTAAATGAGCTGACAATGATGATATAGTATTGATCTCATTTATATGAAAGAGTTTTGTATGTTGAATTATCGTCATTAGTGGTTATAATGAGCACCTAAATACACCTGAATGAGACAGTGTGAATATGGTATAACACAAACAAAATGCCAGATCACGCAGTGGAACTGTTTTGTGTAAAGTCTGGTGAGAACAGCTGTTTTTTGACAAATAAAACAGTAAAAATAGAAGCTAAACCATTAGAACGCAAAATAAATTTTAAAAAACTAACAAAGTTTTATAAGAACTACCGCAAATATTTTTAAATATTTAAAACTAATTTATTTTGAAGGATTCGAAGGAGCATTTTAGTTATTTTATTGAAATTTGGCTGACCATACAACGCTGTTTCGAGTATTGCCAAATACTTCTCATTAGTGGTCTTACGAAATATTCGAATTTCTTTTAAATTAGTTTATAGTCTGTATATAATTTCTTTGGATTGCAAATGCCGGAATTTTTCTAGCAGTGCTGGAGGGGGAATTGTAGGGCCAAATTTCCAGAAAGCAGTAGCAAATGGCCAAATGGGCACTCGCGGTGGCAACATATGCATCCTTTCAGACTGTCAAGTAGCTTTGAAATCTCTAATGGCATTTCTATTTCTATTTTAGTTGGTTTGGGGTTGTTTCAATCTTCTTAATATCTTAGCAACAAGAAATTCTGTGACTTTGCTATGGAAACCGGGACAGGAGGGGCACAAAAGCTATGAAAGAGCGGATGTTCTGGGCAAAAAAGGGAGCAGAAACGTCTTTCGCAGTAAGCAAAAGGGAAAGCAAAACCTAATTGACTTCTGGAAAGTCCAAAAAAACATGTGGCAATCAAAACGGCTTATAATCTCTTAACATATAATGGCTGAAGCTGTTCTGAACTGAAGCAGTGCAGATATCAAACTCTACACAAAACTGCTAATAGACCACTGTGCAAAGTGATTCCATCTGAAAAAGATTGTTCTAGCAGAAAACGATTTCTGCCGACTCTGTCAAGAGCAACAGAAAACAGCAGAATACGTTCAGTACATCTACCCAGTCGTGGCAAAACACAGACTTAACTATTGAGGTAGTGGAGTTTTAAGTCCTGAACGGTCTACAACTGTGACGAAATTCTTCAAAAGTTTGGAATTGGACTAGTTGAGCGAAAGGCTACAAAAAAGTACTTTAAGTTCGCAGGGCTCTCCATAATAATAGTAATAATTACAATTAATACAATTAAGATATCAGATCACACGGTATGGGGAGCACGGACCCTAAGGTGAGCCACTTTGTGATTGTATTACTACTAACAATTTAATATTGCTAAATAAAGGTAATGAATCTACTTTTGTAAGTGTGATAAGGGGAGAGATAATAGAACTCACACTCTAGCGAGCGCGTTTATATCTAATAACATTTCAAATTGAAAGGGGTTGGAAGAAGACTTCTCGTCAGATCATCGCTACATGCACTTTGATTTAGAACTGGAAGTTGAAGACAATTTCAAAATGAGAAATGTAAGGAAGACCAACTGGTTGCAATACAATTTCTAACTATGGTAGAGTAAAACATTAGATATCTTAGGAAAAACAAAACTAATTGTTAGGAACTAGACCTTGAAGGTAACAAATTTGAAAGCAAAAAGAAACATTAATAGATTTATAAATAGTCTACAATTTTTTTAGTTGGGCTTTTAGATGGACAATACAGCATTTAGGTCGAGGTGTGTACATATGTATTCAATGCCTATTATTTAATAAGAATATGTGTATATAAAAGTTGCGACTTTTCGTTATAAGTATCAGCTAAACATACGTTTTATTCACAACAATTATAATTCGAATAAATTTTTGCCCTGATTTATTAAAGTATATGGTTTTTGTAATTTTGCACAAAATTTAATGATTTCCGAGAATAACAAATTCAAATAAATAATTATTTACCTGTTTCGGATTCCGCCATGACTTCAAAACTATGTAAATTTCAGCTTTTAACCAGACGAAAAATGGAACTGTGTTTGATTAATAAAATTTTCTTTTAGTAAAATTTTTTAACTCAACAAATTGAAAAATATACTTTGTTACTTCGTTATAAAAAATATACTATATCTTTTTAAGTTTTTAGATACTCTTATGCCAACATACAGATAAAACCTATTTTATTTTTCAGCCTCGAAGAACATCGGAGAACATCGGAGTAACATCGGAACATTTAGAATAATTTCTAGAGTTTTCTAATGCATTATGACATTAACACATACACATAACTTCATTGAGATGTTGCCACACTATGCTGTTCGTTTAAAAGTTTTTCCAAAAAATTAAACTTAAACTGTGTAAAAACACCAAACTAACAAAGGAATACTTTCTGACTGAGTTTAAAATATAAGTTTATTTCCACAAAACACAAAAATAAAATTAAGTCTGGTTGAAAGAAATTGGCATAACTTTTAAAAAATGCTAAGCGCTTTTTTTTAACATAAGTTTTTCGTTGTGTGCATTTATGTGTCCGACATTCCAATGTTAGGTCCCTCGACACTAGCGTTATACGTTGACGATACGTGTATGCTATACTCGAATAAATATGCTCTCAACATATCCTGGAGTTTTTCCAGAAATGGAAAATAAAAATCAATAATGAATAAACTAAGACAATATTCATTACGCATGAGAGAGAAGACAGAACCCGTCGAGAGTGAGAGATATGGTAATAAACTGGGAGAATATCGATAAATATCTAGGCATCACAGTGGACAAACGATTCACTTGGCTTAAACATGTTCAAGTAAAAAGAATTAGTTACACAAAAACTCTTCAACACCTCCAACCGCTATAACCAAATAATATATTTTGATATATTATTGATATATAACCAAATAATTTCATCATTACTTCTATATGGGTGTATAGCGTTCAGCAAGACAATGCCAGGCTCTGAGAAGGCTTTTCAAGGCGCCATTGTACATTAGGATGAATGACAACCTCAGAGACCTCAAAATTGATCCGATTAAAAAATACATAAAGAATAGAGCACTTAAATTATTTACGCGTTATTGAATGTCAGAATGGTAACAGGCTTCTCGTGGAGGTATACAGATCTGAGCTCAGTTATTACTTAGTCTGATGAAGTGATAACCAATAATCCAGTCAATGCGTAGAGTGGGGTTATGAAGGAACCTTGCAGTTAGTCTGCACATAATAATGGAATATAAAAACTTTTAACACTGAAAATTAAATTCTTTAAATAGAAGAAAACAAAATGATTATTAGAAGGTCGATGACAACCATTTCTATCTTATATATTTAAATCAAATTTTTTATTTATTTATTTGACTTTATTAGTAAATGAAGTGCTCATATGATTTCAATGGATGACTGGAATTTTCCAATATATTTTCGGTGCACATTCACAATAGAGTGATTTTTGAATTTAGCTGCACTAAGGCTAAAGACGTAAAATTTTTTGGGACTACAACCAAACTCTGAAGGTTTTAAGAGCATTGTTGTTGCTTCACAGGTTTTTTTTTTGTAGATTGTATTTTACTACTCTGCAAGAAAAAACTTGAGTAACCTTTTTGATCGAGACTCACTATAAGTTTAATGTCGATTACAAAACCTGTATAACACTCGATATTAATTTATAACATTATAGTTATTTTGCCGGAAGAACAAGACTTCCCTGAAATTAACAGCTGTTTTATATGAAGACAAATAATATATGATTTAATTTGATATACATATTTATAAAAAATATTAATATCTACTACAATAACTACAAAAGTTTTAACTAAACTTCTCACAAGAAAAAAAAGTAATTCCATTAATATTTTACAAGCAATAGGTCATCTTTATCAAGTCCGCCCTAAAACCTTAAAAGTTAGCAAAGTCTCGATTAATGTAATTCGAAATTATACTTTCAAAATGTGCTCTTCCCAATAATATGTAGTCAGTAATGTAGTCAAGCAACTCTAAATACAAAACGCATCACCTCTTCGGTTGTTAGTCATATACTGACTCCTTTATTTTCATGATACACATCAGTTGAACTTGATAAACTAGAGTTGCCATGTACATTTTCTTATGTGTAATATTACAATGATAAACTAATTACTAAACTTATGAACTTAACACTTATACTAAATACTTACTCTAAATACTATATACTACTACAGTAAGAAATTAAAGTTTTGAGTTTTTAAACCAATTCTTTAATGATATGAATATAGCTTAACATTTAAATCGGTAGGCACTTACTACATAAAATGTAATATCATTTATTTCCTTATAAATACGCTTCATTCGTATCTTATCAAGGTATCAACGACAGTCTGTGGCCAGAATGCGGGCAATATTTTTTTGATTTAAATGCGAATAGCAACATAAATTAATATTTATTACACATTTGACTTCCGTTCGCAGCAACAGCAACAGCAACAGCGACTCTATCAGCAACACAGAAGCAGTCAGGAGACTGGTAGATACTCCAGCCTCATTTCGGTATCTATCTGCATTTCAGTGTGCCTTTTTTTATTGAATTTGTTGTCATTTTATTTCTATCTTTTTTATTTACTAACAATATGGCTTTTAAATGGTCCACTGCACCAAGTGAAAATATGAGTTCATTTACAATTATTTTCATTTTACGAACTTAAATTTATTTGCACTTCATTTTCGTACAAACGATGCAATATTTATTAGATTTTATATGACTATAGATAGTCTAATGTTGAGCCCTTTTCGAGTTAGTGCATCTGGGTGCTTTTACTGTTTAATAACTGGGGGGTTTCTGCAGACTCCCATCCATCTCACTTACTAATTTGTGTATTCCGCATAAGTTTCGTATATATTAAAAGACTGATCTAGGATCTGCGTATCGTCCCGTATGGTTAGTGATTACTTTAAGATTAGAAAGTGATAAGTAAGGCAGACTGTCGGGTTTTCGCATATAGCTTCAGGGCTCTGTCCCTTATGTATTTCTTGACCGGATCTATTTTAGGGTCTCTTAGTATGTCATTCGTGCGAATGTACCATGTCACTTTGAAGAGTCTTCGTAGAGCCTGACTTTGAGCAAATTGCAGTTTCTGGATAGTAGAATGAATAAGAGACTAACTGTGTGAAGGGTGAAGTATTGAGATTTATTACATAGTTAATAGTTAATTTACTAATATTGCTGATGCTTATAGTGACAATGGGGTTTCATAAAAATGTTTTTGAAGGTATATTCATTTGCTCTTTTCTAATGGAACTGTCTTATGATCTATCTTGCTACATTAATTGATTATTGCGAAAGAAACAAAAATCTAATAAATTAAATTAATAGAATAAATTAATTTCTATTAAACATTTAATTTAAGAGAGTAATATTCTATATGGAAAATAAATTACATTTGATTAATTTTGATCATATATAGCTTTAGCTACAATGACGACCAGTACCAAAATTAAATTAAGATTAAAAAATAATCATAATTACATATAAAAGCAGGTACGAGTTTCTGAGAAAGCCAACGTTAAATGAAATAAATACCATTATTTAAGTTCCTAGGAAAAAGAATAAGCAACATTACTTATATAAAGGACGTAGCGTTGTGGCACGAAAGGTGCAAGCGACTTATAGACAGCCTATGCACAGTATAAGAGGCTACCCGAAGTCATTGACGTCGAGTAAGGATTATTATTATTATTATATAGTGCTTCGGTTAATTTCATGGCTATTTGAACATAGAAACTAATCAAGTAGTACATTGTTTGTGTAATTTCTTAGTGCTTGTCGATGAACATTTATGTTTGTAAATTGCATATTATAGTTTATGTTAGCTTGCCTTTGCATACTAATAATATTTTCTTATATTAATGTTTATAAACATTTCAGAAACTAGATGATAGCAAATGATAATGCAAGAGCAATTTTCCTGTTTAGAGTTCTGATTTTCCAACAAATAAGCATCTATTAACGGGCTGCACTAAGTAATTGCTCTCATCTCTAGCCTAAAGTTAAAGAACACATATTTATAATCACAGATCTATAAACACATATAAAATGCATATACATTAAGACTGAAAAGTTTTCGGAAATTCTCATTTAAAATTCGCGCGCTGTATATTTTTCGATATTTTAAGTTTATGTAGTTTGGCAGCACTGTCCTTAATTACTATGCCAAAAATGAGCGCGATCTGTCAGACAGTTCGTTTACGGCAGCTGTTGAAACCAGTTCACCTCAGTAGTGCGTTGCGAAATGTCTTCGACGGTCGTACGACCGTCCTGAAAGGCTTTGTACCACTCATAAACTTGAGTTTTCGATAAAACTGATTCCCCATAAGCCTTTTGTAGCATTCGCAACGATTCTGCACACGAAATTTCGTTCGAAACACAAAATTTGATGCAAACTCTTTGTTCAATATTTTTTTCCATTGTTTTTTCGCAACGCACTACTGAGGTGAACTGGTTTCAACAGCTGCCGTAAACGAACTGTCTGACAGATCGCGCTCATTTTTGGCATAGTAATTGTCCCTAATTGCTGCCAAACTACATAAACTTAAAATATCGAAAAATATACAGCGCGCGAATTTTAAATGAGAATTTCCGAAAACTTTTCGGTCTTAATGTAATAATTATATCCAATTAATCCAGTTCATGACGTCTACTTTGACATGGTTGCTTCTTAAATGCTATTGCTTTGTATTTATATATTTTAAAGAAGAAAAAAGTCTGAATTATACACTAAGTAACGTCTAAATCAATGCTTATTATTTGTGGTTGAATTTACCCAAAATTCCAATCTAATCTGCTTGTATATATAAGATTTGACTCTATTCAACTCTAAATGGATTAAAAAAAAAATATATTGAAACATATGATATAAATTGCATCGTTTTAATCTCATCATATTAATCTAAAATCTCTTCAAGTTTGCACTGATTAGATAAAGTTATTTAGTGTCTCTTTAGCTACAATAAGTTGAAAAATTTAGGTGATAGTTTTCCCATTTGAAAAAGAAATAAAAAAAGCCTTAAAAACGGTAAAGAACAGTAAAGCTATGGTTGGTTCGTTGGTTGGTTGCATTGACAGGCCATTAGACAACTTTTATGTACCTCAATTAGCGACGCCGTTTTGTTACCATATTCCTCGTAAGAACCCTTGTATAGAAGAGTAGAGACTAAATCCATTACGCCGAATTTAGATAATTTAATAGGTCTTTCGTTTCCACCGATGAACAGTCTTATGAACTATCAAAGAAGTGTCTTCATAAAAACCTAAGTTAAGCTGGAGGTTTAAAAAATATTCTGGTACAAAACTTGAAGGTCGATGTGCAAGATAAAGCGAAGATTTTACACCCACTATTTTATCAATATAAGAACGAAAAGTTTTAGTGGTATTAGAGTATAAAGAACAGTAATAAAATTATTTAAAAAAAATCATTCTAGAAAGAACAATTGGTATAAATGAAATATACTCTTTGCTTGTTGTTCTTTGATTAGGAGAAAGCTTATGATTCATTAACAAAACTATATTTGTATTATATATAATATATTAATATTAATATATAATATATAATATATAATATTAATAAGTAATATTGATTTATATATTATATTAAATTAAAAAATATTCGCATACTAACTTGAACAAAGTCGGTAGTAAGAAGGAGCTAGGAGAACAAAAAGGACTGCAACATGGAATGGAAAGAATATATAATTCATTAAGGCCCTTAAAGAGAGACAATTGTGGTAACTCACTTTGGGTACAAAGAACGGCTCGTGCTGTTCAACGACCAAGTGCTGTTCAACACTTTTCGAAGGGACTTCACAAACGGGTTTCAGCGGGTTACAACAACAACATAACTCACTTTAATACTTAAACAAAATAGATAATGTCTTTATTGCTTATAATAGTAATATTGTACTGAGATTTAAGAATGAGAGACCTTAGAGTGATTATAAAAGGATTAATACATATTGAATTTGCGCATATTTGCTTTAATGTTTAGGTAATTTTCCAATTTAAAACAATATTCCTATTTTGAGGTAACTTATTGTTACTCCGTATAAGACCAAAGTGTGTTTTATTAGTATTATAAGTATTAGTATGATATTAGTATAATGAATATGATAGAAATTCTTAGTTAGGTATGTACAAAATTCAAAAACATGAATAAATTTAATGAATGTAATAAAGATTACTAATGAATAGAATTGAAAACAAAATATGGTAGAGTCTGTAGACGAAGCTATTTTAAATACTTTAGCAACTCGACGCTGACATTTTTTGTCCTTTCAATTTTATATAAAATGTTGCTTTTGTTCATTTCATTGTTTTGTACACAGGATAAAGCAAATGAAACTAAATTAAAACAATTGAATTGTAAATAGTCTTCGAGCAACCTGCACCGAATTACTAATGTTTGTCACGTACTTTACAATTTAGAGTTCTGTGTCTTTGCTACTAGCCAATACACCTAGCATAAGAGTATGGTGCTTTGCTGACATTGAGGACGACGACTTCAATTTCAAGTTTTTATACTATTTGTATATATATATATATATTTGTTTTTGTTTAGTATTATTTTATTTAAGCACTGAACTGTTGTCGATTGTTTTCTGTGAGTTCTTCAATAGTCGGTACGATTTTCAATCGATTTTGCAAACCAAGCCAAAATACTTCCTTGCGTACCAAATTACATTGTATTGAATTTGATATTTTATGATATTAGTTAAATGCTATAAAATGGTGTAATATTGTATAAACATACAAAATACAAAAACAATTTTTTGTTTCAATATTCAATGGCACATTATATAGTGAAAACTTTCCCAAAGTATACCCCACTTGGACGGACGACTTCTTTAAAATGGTCTGGTGTTTTTATACTTATCTGAAACAAACTTAACCTCATTTGGCCGAACACGCTTTTTGAATGGCTGATGATGAGAATTTTCATTGTATTGAAATTCAACCTTTTTTTTTGACTTTACACCGTTTTTGTGTGAAGAAAAGTGAACTGATGATAAGTGTCCGCTTAAAAGAGTTTTTACTGTATTAAAATTTGTGCTTTGTAGTTAACTTACCAAATACATGGTTATTTTGAAATGTAAAATATATTTTCAAATTTTCAGCGACACCTGCTTGATCTACTCTGACCGGGATGCCATAAATGTAAGCAATACTTTACAGACAAATATAGTCCTCACGGTCAATTACTTCTAGAAATGGAAGATTCAAATTAACATCGACAAAACCAAGGCTTTATTCATAACACGAAAGAGAAGGCAGCATTCTCAAAGAGTGAGCGTCGGTGACGCGGACATACGATGGGAGGAAAGCATAAAACATCTCGGGGTCACATTTGACAAACGACTTAATTGTTATAAACATATGTAATGCAAACGGAATAGTTGCTCTAAACTTCTACATCTCCTAAAGCCACTGTTTACTTATAATCGATTCAACCTCAAAAGTAGAAAGTTACTGTATACTTAAATAATTAGGCCAGCACTACTGTATGGATGTGTTACATACAGCAAAGTCAAAAATACTGCCATAAAGCAATTGGAGATAGCACAAAACCTGGCTATAAGAAGATTATTTGAGTTTCAATGCTATATTAAAACAACAGATATGCACAGAGATCTAAGAATCGACTCAGTGAAAAAATATATCAGAGATACAGCCCTAAAATTATTCACAAAAGTTAATATGCTAACCAACTCCGCCCTAACAAACCTCAAGTCAACTTTAAAACCCACAGGACGGTATGCTGACGATTCCAGTTTAGTTAAAGCTTAGTGTGGGGCAGGAATAAGCTCCCCAGCTACAAAAGAATAAAAGTGTGCAATAACTGAAGAAATCACGTATTTACAGACGATTTAAACAATTTTTAAATTTTTAAATTATGTTTCTATTTAAACTTTACTACTGCAGAATATTTTAAAAAAAAGGAGTAAAGAGAAATTGCTAAACACAATCTTTGTGAATGTTAAGATGTGATATGATTGAGAGATAACACTATGAACATCCCACACATAGATCTTCCAAATATAACATACTCAATATACATACTCGTGTTGGTGTCAATATGTGGTGTGATGAGAAATCCGCTCACAATCTTTGTGAATGTTAAGATCTGCTATGATTGAGAGATAATACTATGGACATCCCACACATAGATCTTCCAAATATAAAATACTCAATATACATACTCGTGTTGGTTTCAATATGTGGTGTGATGAGAAATCCGCTCACAATCTTTGTGAATGTTAAGATCTGATATGATTGAAAGATAACACTATGGACATCCCACACATAGATCATCCAAATATAAAATACTCAATATACATACTCGTGTTGGTATCAATATGTGGTGTGATGAGAAATCCGCTCACAATCTTTGTGAATGTTAAGATCTGATATGAGTGAAAGATAACACTATGGACATCCTACACATAGATCATCCAAATATAAAATACTCATTATACATACTCGTGTTGGTTTCAATATGTGGTGTGATGAGAAATCTGCTCTTTGGACTGAATGGAAAGTTTTGCCTCCACTAAACTCTACTTTTATTATTTTGTTCAATAATCTCAGTATCGCATAACTACGGTAGGAAACACATATCCCAAGATTCACAATACATGCCTTGTACGGGTATTTTTATACTTATAATTCACTTTTTTTCCACAAGTGGAGGTGTAAATACATGCCCTCTAATCTACAAACAATTACATACATTCATGGGTAGGTAAACCGTATAAAAAACACTGCTATAAGCAAAGTCATAAATTTTCAATTTAACAGGAAACATGTTGCAAGATTTCAGCTTGTTTTATTCACTCTTTCGAAAATGTTGCCAACTGTATACAAATTTCAAGGATATTATTCATGTCATCCGCAGTCGCATTGAAATTTATTGTACTTGTCTTTGCTTTGTTTTAAATTCATTAGGGTATGTATAATGTGTGGTATAGAAACATGAGTAGATTCAAGCTGAACTAGCAAAAAACAAAAACAAAAAAAAAACAAAAACTAAAATTAAGAAAAACTAGTTATTTCTGTACTATTACTATATATTATATATGATAAATACAAATATGAATGGAAGGAAATGAGTCAAAAGAAAACCTGTCAATGGCACTTTTGCCTTAAGCAAATAAGATACTCATCCATACAGATACATAACAGCATGCCTGCATATTCATATTTCCGCAAACCGATATATTGATAAACTTATTCAGAATAATATACAAACGTTGTGTTTATATATATATTTAAATTTTATCCTGCAAGGATAAACTTTAAACCAATTTTGAAGTACCGAAAGTGACAACTGTAGCACATTTTCTATATAAAAAGTTTTTGTATTTTTATAGCACGTAACAGTGGTAAGTGAGATTACTTGTAAGTCACCTAAACAGAGCAGCCAAGTTATTTCTTCAAGCATTGTTTATAATTATTTATTTATTTTTCAATTAATCGTATACCACCAACTCTCTCAGGGATAACAACTCGGTGTGGACTAAAGCTTCCTTCGCAGTGTTCCTCCAATGTATGACATACATTAGTGGCATTGATTTTGTGCTTAAATATAATCAAGATTTTTCCCATTACAAATATCTTTTACCATAATATCTTTTAAACTTTAAATAAAATATAATTTATTTATAAATATAAACTTTTTATTTAATACTTGATGTGACGTTGTTTTTCAGCATCTTCGCCGATTGCATATCATCTCACAACTCACTACAGGTCAGAGCTTTTTCACAGTGATTCGGCAATGTCGATTAATTGATTCCTTATATGGCGCTTAGACTAGTTCATTTCAAATGTTGTTGTGGTTTCTTGAGTTAATGCTATAGCGCACTTTTACTCTTTTGTGACTAGGGGGCTTATCTCTGCCTTTGTCCAATTTTTTTAAGGAAAACCGCTGCTATATTTGGTGCAATCAATATGACACATTACTGCATATCATACCGTGCCGCGTCTGTTTAGATGTATTTCAATGGTTGCAGTATATTATTTTGAAAATTAAAAAAATTATTTAAAGCAATGGCACTAACTCAAACCACAACAACAACAACAATTATAAGTATTAAGAATATATGAACCGAAAATATTTTTTTAAATAAAATAAAAAAATAGACAAAACTATTTTTGAAAAAAAAATTAAAGAATATATGGTATACCGGAAACATATTTATAATGTCAAATACAAATATTGAACTAAACCATTTTTGACAACTAAAAAAATCAGAAAAAATTATAGAATATATACCGGAAACATTTTTTTAATGTCAAATATAAAAATTGAACGAAATCAGTTTTTGACAACTAGCAAGAAGTTTTGCACGTATTTTCAAAAACCGTACAAAATAAATAGATTTGTGACTTTTGGCAGTCTTATATTGGGAGCTACTTATTGGTTACGCAGTTCTGGAGAAGTTTGATTAGGTAAGTCGGCGCTGTTGTTGTTTGTCATGTTAATTCTTAAAGTAAGCGGTTGTCTTTTTGCAATTTACCAATTTAAGATATCGCGTTTCATAAAATATATTAAAAATTGTATAAAACGGTAAAGATTCATGAATAAGAATTAAAATTAATTAATAAGAATACGGAACAGCAATTTTGCGAAAAAATCGACTTTGTCTCAAACAACTTCATTTTATGTCTGAATAAAAATACGCAGATTTCACTCAGATCCGAAATCAAATTTGCAAAATCAGTAACATACAGACTTATAGACGAGGTATTTCACTCAAAGCATGTCTTCAAGAATATTTTCGCGAAAGTCTAAGTATCTTTATGGACTATAGCTATTTAGAGACTTCGTAAGTAGTCTCTTGAAACAAAAGACTAGTGTTGTTATGACGCGTGCTGTTTAAAAGACTTTAGCAAGAAAAATAATTCCATAATATCCTTAATATATGCACAACTTGAATGTATAATTTTATTAATTTGCAAATGCAGATTTTTATAGCTGCATCTAAAAAAATCTATCTTACACTTAATATACCACGAAATTACGACATTGTAGAAATTTTTTATAGAGTTTTGTATCAAGTTTTGTGCAAAATTGGTGTAAGTACTAGGATTGTATTTAAAAAATCTTACCCATAACAAATTGCAACATTATGTATTAAGATTTTTGATTCCTATATGTACATAAAAACTTAACATTTTTTTTTTGGGCAGTTGGCATTGCGTTTTGAATCTATTGTGAATTGTTGTAAAAAATTTTAATGTCAGTAATTTCTTACAGCATATTGTCATTCAAGTTAAAGCTTTCGTCCGAGTCGGATCTATTTTTACTAGTCGGAAGTTTTGTCACTGAATTTAGTTTTTGTTGGTTTCGATATATTCAGTTAAAGAAAAAAAAAATGGATATTATGGAGATGTCTTTGGACGAGATTATATCTAGTGACTATCTAGGCAAGGAAACTCTTGGAAAAATTAACATGTCTCGTAATCGTCGTCAGGCGGGTGGTTTTCACGTCAAGGTATTTCGGCCTGATATTTCCTACAGGGCCAAGCCATATGCTTATAGACCTGGTATTGGTAATACTGGTTTCGCCATGCGTCAGTCTACTGAATATTATGGTAATGGACCTGATGTCTATGGTGCACATACAAGCTCTTATGGTAGACGCCGCATTTATGTGAAGGCTCCTGAATTTTATGGTAAGTCAGCTAAAGTTTATGGTAAGCATCGTCAATCGTTTGGTAATCATATTGAAATGTACGGCAACAAACCTGATTACCACGGAAGAAAACATAAGCAGTATGGTAAATATATTGATATCTGTGATAAATATTTTGAAACTAATAGTAACTATTATAAAGGGCACGGTCAGCATGCTGGAGTGTTTGATAAACGTATTGGAGGTTATGGCAAAATGTATGGTAAATACCCCAGAGCACATGGTAAACGTTATGATAAGTATGGAAAGCGCTCTAAAATGGTTGAAAAATCTAATGTCGATGAATTGCGTTCTAATAAAAACAAGTTATATAAGAAACAAACAAATAAATTCTATAACGTTCGCGATAAGCGCGATGATTGCTATGATGATGGTTTTGACATCAAAAAAACTCTCGAGATTCGTAGTAAGGGTCTTGGTGTCAAAGGAAGATATGATAGAATGTTTGAAAATCCTTTTGATGATTCTGGATACCAGCCTGAAAGTGATGCGTCCTCTGACTCGTATCGCCATGGAAGAGTCTCTAAAATGCGTGCCAAGCATTCTGGTTCGCGTGGTAAACGTTATAAGTCACGTCCGGTAAACTTTAGAATAATTTTAAAGCAATTTAAATTTTTTTTAATTAAATTTTAACTAAATTTTAGAAACCACGCCGTAATAAGCGCTACTCACGTCAACGTAGCAGCAAAATCCGTATAAGTAATCTTGCCTTATGTGTTACTGATACTGATGTAACTGCTTTGTTTGGTGAGATTGGCCCCATCAAAAAGTGCTTGATTCATTTCGATCGCTATGGCAAAAGTTTGGGTAAATAATGAATAAGTATAAATTATACTTCATAACTCTTTTTGTATTTTAGGTTTAGCTGACGTTATTTACCTACATCGTGAGGATGCCTTAAGAGCTGTTAAAATTTACAATGGGCTGCCATTGGATCGTCGTATATTACGTGTTCGCTACATACCGTATTACTATTAGCTGCACCGCAATAACATTCTCCAACTTTCAAACAATTTTATTCCTTCGTTTTCAATGCTAATTTTGCCATTTTTTAAAGAATTCAATTGATTAATTTAAATGTTTCTTTACTCTATTTACATGTTGCACATGCAACAAAATCCTTACAAATACAACAATTTACACAAATTCAATAAACACCAGTTAATAATACATATTGTCTATTTTTTCGAATATGACTATTATTATTGTATTGGGTATACAAACTACAGTTGCTTGAACCAATCTCTTAGGGTCGCGGTGCTTAATCTTAATAATTAAATTTGAAGTTCCAGAAAATATTAACTTCAAAGATATTCTTTTAGGTAGTGGACTCTTTTTGCGAGATCCAATAGATAGTTCTAGTTTCCTTTTCCAATAGCATAAAGTATTTGTAAGTTATGTCTGAACGTAGAAAATAACCGAATTAAGTTTAATTTATTTAATTAATTTTAATAACTTAATTAATTTTAATAATTTAATTAAGAGTTCTAGAAAATATTAACCTCCAAGATATTCTTTTAGGTAGTGGACTCCTTTTGCGAGATGCAATAGATACTTCTAGTTTCCTTTTCCAATAGCATAAAGTATTTGTAAGTTATGTCTGAACGTAGAAAATAACCGAATTAAGTTTAATTTATTTATTAATTTTAATAACTTAATTAATTTTAATAATTTAATTAAGAGTTCCAGAAAATATTAACTTCAAATACATTCTTTTAGGTAGTGGACACTTTTTGCGAGTTGCAATAGATAGTGTCTAGTTTCCTTTTCCAATAGCATAAAGTATTTGTAAGTTTTGTCTGAACGTAGAAAATAACCGAATTATGTTTAATTTATTTAATTAATTTTAATAACTTAATTAATTTGAATAATTTAATTAAGAGTTCCAGAAAATATTAACTTCAAAGATATTCTTTTAGGTAGTGGACTCTTTTTGCGAGATGCAATAGATAGTTCTAGTTTCCTTTTCCAATAGCATAAAGTATTTGTAAGTTATATCTGAACGTAGAAAATAACCGAATTATGTTTAATTTATTTAATTAATTTTAATAACTTAATTAATTTGAATAATTTAATTAAGAGTTCCAGAAAATATTAACTTCAAAGATATTCTTTTAGGTAGTGGACTCTTTTTGCGAGATGCAATAGATAGTTCTAGTTTCCTTTTCCAATAGCATAAAGTATTTGTAAGTTATATCTGAATGTAGAAACTATTATAAGTGAATTAAGTTTAATTAATTAACCAATTTAATTCATTTTATTAATTTAATTAAAAGCTCCAGAAAATCTTTTCTTCAAAGATATTCTATTAGAAGTAGTGTAGAAGTAATTCTATTCTAAAGTAGAAGTGGTTTTGCAAATTCGGTATTTCTTTTAGAATATTATAAAGAGTTTGTAAGTTATGTCAGATCGTAGAGATCAAGTGATTGAAGAGTAATTAATTTATAATTTATGATGATGGAAAGTAGTTATATTATTTTTTTCAAATAATTCGATATGTTGTTGTTGTGGTTTGAGTTAGAACTATAGCACACTTTTACTCATTTGTGGCTGGGGGGCTTATTCCTGCTCCACACTAAGCTTTAACTATGCAGGAATTCATATCATTTATTTACATTTTAATTGATGACGAACCGTAGGTCAGCAAATCTTCCTGTGGGTCCTGAGGTAGACTTAAGGTTTGTTAGGGCGATATGTGTTATATAAATAATATTTAATTCAATAGCTAAGTTTCGTAGTTGTGTTTAAACATAAAAAATGGTGAACCTTTAAGTTCCAAACCAGCTTTTTAATCTAAACCAATTAATTTTATTTTTGGCAAAAGAAATAGTATATTTATAATTACTTAAATAAAAGATATATAAAAAAAACATTGATAAACACAAAAAGTTGATATGGTCGATATATAACTTATATGGTGGCTATAACCAAATTTGTACGAATCAATATATTTCTGACAGTAATACATATTTTTTATATTGAATAATAAAATTGAACAAAAATGCATTTGCAAATAAAATAGTTCTGAGATAGTTCGAAGATACTAAACATATTTTCAGACTCTCACTTCCTCGACTATGAGTCGGAAAGTGTGAGCCAGTGCAAGGGTAGGCAGCTCAGCTGTTTAAGTATGAGCGTTAGCACAAGTGCGCGAAGCGATAGTTACGGCTAAAATCAGCTGTTACTCTATTTATAGTTCCTTATCGTATAAACCAAAAAATTCGGGGTGGGGAATAAAGCTTCTGAAACCCGTCAATACTATCTTATTAAATTTGCTATAGACACCAAATATCGTTTTGGGTTTCATTTACGAGTAGCATCTTCAAACAATCGCTTGTGCGTTTCGTGAGCTGAGACCAAATAGATATATCAAACTATTATATACATAAATTGCATAGCTCTTGATCTGTCCACTTACAAATAGTTAAATAAGTTAAATTATATGTTTGAACAATATTTTCATCTGTCAATATGAATAACGACATCAATATGTTTTTTAATATATTTATATTTCCAGTAATATTAATAGTTAGTTTTAATCATGAACGTAGGTCGAAGGCGGTAATATCAAAACTAAATTGGAAACTTCTTTTATAAAAACTGACGATATTTCTCTTTTTAATTAAAAAAAGATCATTGCATCTTGCAATCAAGTATCTGATTGGACTCATTGGTTGGAATCGTCTGCATATTCTCATGCCTATAACTTCGTCAACGATTCATCACATATAGAAGGGTCTACCTCCAGCTCAAAAAGTGCCCGGATTTTGTAAATAAAACACAAATTTGAATTTTATTCCAAATTTATTTTATCTCCTTCAAAATATGCTCCTTACGAAGCGATACACATATCTTCTATACACTTTTCGTAGGTCCGTAAGGTATGGCTTTTAGTTCCTTCAGCGAATTCTCTTTTACTAATTCAATCGACTCAAAACCCTTACCACGAAGGGGCAAGTTGAGTTTCGGGAACAGAAAATTCGGGAATTGCATGGATCCAGATCTGGCGAATATGGTGCCTGAGCGATAACAGTGGTGCCGTGTTTGAGTGTTTGGTCAAAAAATCGCTTACAACAAAAATTTTCCATAGTAAAAATCTCTAAATGCACTTGAGGTAGTCTCACATTAACACCTGCTGTAAGCAAACTAATTGACAGATGGCGCTCAAATTTGTACCATATGTCAAGAAAGGGTGTACCAACATAACAAAAAAAGATTTTTAAATAAGGTCTATTACTTAAGAAATAGTTAACAAACAACAAAATCCGGATACTTTTTGTGCAGAAGGTAATAACATATTTTCATTATTCCCATATATCCTTCTAGTCTACGCCCATGATTTAATTTCAAATTTTGCATTGTTTTCTGTGGATTACAATATTAAAATTAGTATCAAATCTATATAAACTACAGCATGATTTTTAATTAACTTTAATATGAAAATCAAGTGTGAATAATTTTGATAAATAAATTTGCTATTATGAATTAAGATGAAGAAATTGAAAGGTACATGTAGACTTAGAAATCTAATTTGCATTTGAAAACCAAAATGTAATTTCATCATTTGTACGTTGCATTAGCAGTATAAAGCTAACATTTCATATAAAAGTAACAATCGACCAATCTGACGTGCAAGGCTCAAAGGGACGAACAGATGCAGGACAAGCACCGAATGAATAGTTACCGTTGCCTAAATGACTTGCGGCATTCCACACCAATTAGGTCAAATTATCGCATTCACCTTTCATTGATGTGGTGTGAGTTTGCCCACAAGGCTTCATGGTCCATGATTCCTCACACACTTATGAGTGTGCGGGAGAGTGTTTGATGTGTTATTTATTCATAACTTTTTATCTCTGGGGTCGTTGCTGTTGATTATGGTTGTCTGTCATTGGCGATAATTTTGACTATCTTGACGATCCAAATAAATTGAATTATGTTAAGCGCTGTCTACTCAAATGTGTACAAGCTCAGTTGAGTTTGGCACTCCATGTGCTAGCATTAAATATCATCACATCAAAGTTCATAATTAACAATTACTTATCTATACATATCATTGTTTTAAAATTGTTCCACGTTTCCAATTTGCATTATTAAAGGCAATTATTTTTGAACTACACACAATTTTTATAAAAATTCTAATTATATGTAAATTTATAAAATTCTAAATCTAAATTTATCAACAATATATGTATAACAAAAGCATAATAGAACTCTACACAACAAGTATATAACTTCTACGAAATATCCACATAATTTCTTGGACTAGGAAATAAAAATAAAATCGTTTAGTAGTACAAAAATAACAGAAAATTGCTATGAATAATATACTATTAATAAATAATCTTTTTGCAAAGAGCAAGAAATTGCTCGGAATACAAGCCTATTGCAGAAAGATAGTATTGATATATGGAACATTCTCTTACAGGAACTGTTTGTAAAATAATCAAATATTAATATATAAAGAATTTATAAGAATAATAAGCCCATGGCTGCTGGAAGTAGATGAATGTGATGCTCATTACAAGACTCCAATACTTCAAAAGATGCGTGTAAAAGCATATCAATCTTCATCGATTGACAACTATGCTTTTCGCCGTTGTCGTTATTAGAAATAATAACGTTGAGGTTAAAATTTTTCCCACTTAACACTTTTATAATTGAGTACTTTAAAACCGAGGATTCCACTACTGCCGATACTGCAAAAAAATAAAATTAATTTCAATTAGTAGTAACACACCCATTCTTTCTTTAGATGTTAAGAAATATATTACCGTTTGTATGCGGTTTCTGTAATGGCAACATATCTATTGCATCCATATATTATTAACACGGGTTCCATCTTATTTTATCAGAAATTCAGCGCAAATAACATTCTATAAGATTTCCCAATTGTCTGATATGTTGATTAAATCTGTTCTCAATCCGTAAATGTTAGGAGACGTTGTGCATGTACTTAATTGAAAATAAGTGGCAATTAAAACCATGTATTTAGTAGCAGTTAATAATAATTGATTAGCAATTTATATGAGATATAGACGTTTTGTCAGTATGACAATTGTTTTGCAATAAAAAAATTCAATTAAAAATATCACATTTTTTATTAAATTCCAAAAAAATAGTTACGAAAGAAATATTAGTTAGTGTGGCTTAAATTTTTATATTTAAAT